ATATCCAGTGTTTCTTCCTTACTGTTGCCTTCGGCATAGATGCGCAGCAGCGGCTCTGTACCAGAGGCACGCAGCATGATCCAGCCGCCGTTGTCAAGGTGATACTTCATGCCATCAATATTTTCGGTACGGTTGAAGGTGTACTTCCCAAAGGCATCTTTATAACCACCTTCCATCGCCGTGCGGATGATGTTTTCCTTTTTCTCGTTTTCAATATGTAGGTCTGCGCGCTCATACACGAAGGTGCCTACAATATCGTATACCTCTTGTATCAGCTCTTTCAATGTTTTGCCGGTAGACATCATAAACTCGTAGAGGGCAAGGCCATCATAGATGCCGTCGCGCTCAGGGATATGACCCTTTACGGCGATGCCACCGCTTTCTTCGCCACCTACCAGCACATCTTCATTGACCATGATCTCGCTGATGTATTTAAAGCCAATCGCGGTAACTTCTACCGGCAGGTTATATACCTCGCACAGACGCTTTACACGATCGGTTACCGAGAAGGCAATGGCTACCTTACCGGTCATATTTTTGTACTTATAGAGATAGTGGATGAGCAGCAGGATGATGTGGTGCGCATCTACAAACTGGCCGTCTTCATCATAGAGGCCAATACGGTCGGCATCGCCATCTGTAGCCAGGCCTATTTTCAGTTCCGGTGTATTCCGGATGGTTTGGGCAAGTTCCTGCAGGTTCTTATCCAGTGGCTCCGGCGCCTGGCCCATAAAACCGGGATTATTATCACAATGCAGTAAGACAGCACCGGGTAGCAGCTTTCTAATTACATTCTGACCAGCACCATACATGGCATCATAAGCCAGCTTAAATGGCGACTTATTCAGCGCTTCAAAATCAAATTTGCCTTGCAGGTACGTGATATAATCGCCTTCCAGGTCTATATAAGACAGCAATCCTTTGGACTCAAATTCTTTTAATGAAGTGGTGGGTATCGTTACCTCATCTTCAATCAACGCTTCCACCGCAGCAATATCATTGGGGCTGGACGGGCCGCCATGTGCACCTTTCAGCTTATAGCCATTGTAGGAAGGGGGGTTATGAGAAGCGGTGATCACCACACCCTGATGAGCTTTGTGCTGCAATACACCCAGCGATACCATGGGCGTACTCACAAAGCCTTTGGCTAATAACACC